ACAGATTAACCCCCCCCCCCCAAAAAAAAAACCCCTCGGAAGTAGGGTTTCAGAGAGAAATCTTGGAACATGAAGCAGTAATTTGGCACTCTCATGGAAACAGTGGATGGAAACAGCATAAAAAATTACAAAGTATTATTAGAGTAAATAAGTCTATAGTATTTATTGTTGTAGGGCTGAACCCTCTGAAGTGCTAAGCTCTGTCTCCCCTTTCCCAGCAAAGCATTTCAATTGTATGCACTTTTAAGCACATGTATATTTCCACTGAAATCAACCTCATGATTTCTACTTGTGTATTGAGATCACTACCACCATACAGTTCTCATTCTTCCAGCTTACTTATATGACCAGAAAAAAAAGACAAGTGACTATGTAGCTTGCTTTAAATATCAGACTTACTGTCTACAGTATAAAAAGAGGGATGTGTTTTTGGTGAAAAATAATTTATTTTAATGAATAACAACCTTACATTTTTGGAAGAATACACAAGAGAGCTCTGAAGCTTTTTAATGAAAACCAACACATGCCAATCCATGGAAAATATGTCTAAAGGAAGCTTTTAGCAAGTTGTTGCCAACCCTGAGTCTTCCAGGAATGTATCATATATAACCCTATACTCCTGCCTTATTATAAATGGCCACTTTTGAAATGAATTAAATATAATCAAATACTGATATGACTGTTTATCAATATCTTTGCCAAATAACACAGCTGTTATTGGTCTTCCTAGTAATACTTACACATTAAAATAAAATACATTTTGTCTATGTCAAAACAGTATTTTCCTCTCACAAATCATGGTATTTTTCTCCCTTATAAATACAGTAAAACTCCAATAGTCTGGCACCCAATTGTCAGGCACTCCCAATAATCCAGCATCAAAATGGCAAGTGCTCCTGACGGAACCAGGACGGAACCCAGAACCGCTCAGGTCAGCCCTCTCACATGGATTACAGGTGTTTGGCTCTGGGGAAGGGGAAGGGAAGGGTGGGGGATTGGGTTACGCATGGCATCCCAGACATTGAAAAAGCCGGCCGCTCAGTGCCCAGAGGGAGACGTGTGGCTGTATCGGCTGCTCCGGTACCCAAGCATAAGGTTGGGGTGGGGAGTGGGATTCCCAGAACCGCTCAGGTCAGCCCTCTCACATGGATTACAGGTGTTTGGCTCTGGGGAAGGGGAAGGGAAGGGTGGGGGATTGGGTTACGCATGGCATCCCAGACATTGAAAAAGCCGGCCGCTCAGTGCCCAGAGGGAGACGTGTGGCTGTATCGGCTGCTCCGGTACCCAAGCATAAGGTTGGGGTGGGGAGTGGGATTGGGTTACAGCAGCGAGGAGAGATGTTTGGCTCTGTGGAAGGGAAAGGGGAGGGGGAG